CACGTCCTGCCCGCCACGTCCTGCCCGCCACGTCCTGCCCGCCACGTCCTGCCCGCCACGTCCTACCCGCCCCGTCCTGCCGTTATTTGTATTAGTGTTTAAAATGTTATTTTGGGTACATTATGTAGTGTGTACCTGATCAAATAATCGTATTATCCGATAGTTCACTTATATACGGGAGAAGGCAGAATTGTGTAAAATTGAGGTCTCAAATATTTTTCTTGTATATCATAACACATATTATCATTATTTTGGTTGTTATGAGCTCTTCCTTTATTATTCACCCCATTCAATAGTTTTTTTGTGGTTCTTAAAAGTGCGTTCTCTACTATCTTTTGAAAAAAATGTTGTTTTTGAAAAGTGTAATGCTTTAATCTACCGAATGTGGTGATACGTGATTAAATATTGATACCAGCGTTTAGATAACTACGCATTAAAATACATACATTATTTTCAGTTTTGTATGTTTCAGGACATACTATAAATATAATTTTCATAAGGACAAATATTGATCACTCAGCAATTGTAAGAGCCCGAAATATCTCTTTACCTATCTCCCAATATGTTTGGATGTTATCTTTCACTAAATATTGTAGTGAATTTTTTGTTTCATTTTTCATAATATTATTGTTAGCGTTAGTTTCAGTATCACTATGCTCAGATGCATTCTGTATTTTATTTTGTACTTGTGGCATGTTTGATTGAACACGAATATTAAGAACACACGAATACTTTTTTTAATAATCACGTCTGCAAACACATTTGCCTTTTCCACAAAATGCATTTCCTGTACTAAATATAAAACATTTTCCATTGACTCTATAAATTCGGCCAATTCGGCAACTCAATTTATTCTTTTAAAAAATCAATAATATTCCTGAGTTACGTTCATTACAAGAGGAGTACGTAATTTCCTTTTCTTCCAACAGCAACCAAAAGAAATTAAGAATTTCTTAACTAATCTCGGACGTTGTTCCTTTCTTGCGTGCCGATGTGCGAATGCCAACGAAACGAGGAAAATGCAAATGACGCCATCTTGCCGCAAGTCGAAGGAAAATTCCGAGGGGAAATGTTCGGCAGCTAATTGCATGTCGACGGCTCGAGCCACTTCCGGCTCCACCACTGCTACCAACTGCTGCAACACTGCTGTGTCACAGCTTCCGAAACGAGCGTTCCCTGTAACAATTTTGTTTGACCGTCCAAGTTTCGGGTTATAATAAATGCATAGATACTAACTTTTTAACAAGAATTTTAATTATGGACGGAACCTTTCCTTGTTTAGTGAAGTTTTCTCGCGTCGCAAGTTTTTCCTTGAAAAAGTTTGGAGTATTAAATTAAAGATTCCTTCTTGTTACTTTGTTTAGAAACATCAATTAGTAGCAGTATATTAATCCCCTTTAAATGGATAAATGTATAATTAATCATCTGTTAAACGATATGAAGTCGTACTGTTCGGAATAACTTTATGGAGAAGTCTTTTAAATTCTGAAGCTGATGAGAAGTCGACGAGGGAGGCGGAGGCGCGGCGTCCTTCGGAGGGCGCTGCCAAGTCGCCTCGTTTCTGCTCGAGTTTTTTTCTCGCCGCTTTTTTAGCCAGGAAGAGACTCTCAGCAGTTCATTGCTTAATCACAATTACAAGATGCCGCGTTTTCTGTGCGGGTTATGGAACTTTCGTCTTCTTGCGTCTGATTTGCCTTCCTGGCTCTTCTCGCATCGTTTCTGCCTGTTGAGGAAGAGAGTAGATGCTCTTCGCCTCTGAACTGCCCTAGAGCCATAGAACAGAGAGCGAAAAGAGTTTAAAAAGAAACTTCGGGAGTACATGACACAGTTTTTTCCAGTTCTTTCAACTCTAAAAAACAATCTTTGAGAATACGTTTCAATTCTTCCATAAAGCGTGTTGGAACAAAATAGAAGTATTAGTCAAAATACTAGAATCGTATATATTTGCCAGTTTGGGAAATGTTTGCTCAATCATTGTCATTTGCCACAATTATTCGACTTTTTAACATGAAAATCACAATGATTGTTGTTTAAGGCGCTTCATATAATAATACGAGATTAATCCTGAAATATGCTTACTGCAATGCATACAGGAAATTTCATGAACAATTTAAGAGTAAAGTTAAATTATATTTATAATTATACGTATTTCAGGTGTTTTGAAGATCTACACTTTGATATCACATTTTTCATTACACTTTGCACACCTCTCTAAGTTGGAGTGTCCAGTGTTGGATCTCTTGAATTTTCAAAAACTCCTTGAAAAGTTCTAATGCGAAATCTCATTGCCAGATATCTGGTCAATGTGAACACTTACTTTTATTTAATGAAATACCACACTGGTTTAGCTTTCAAAATGTACTTTGATTAAAAGTACAACTTCAACATTTAGAGATTTTTCCATTCCTAAATAAGCAATTTTTATTTATTCATTTATGAATTGGCGCATTAAATACAAGTTTATTAACGACATTTTAAATATTTCACAATTTTCGGTTCAAGATTTCGCATTTTCGTGTCTTTGATTTAGAGTTTTAACCCGCGAGAGCTCGCGTCTTCTCTGCGAACGTAACTGGTCGCCTTGGAGAAAATGTGTGGATGGGTATCGTGATGTGCGGTGGCGAGTGGCGG